CGCCATCTTTCCTCCTTTGAAGAAAATAAAGACATGGAAATATACAATCCAATCAGAGGCAGAGTTCTACCACAACAAAATAAGCAACTTTGCTGAAGCAAAAATTATTACTTATTCCCAGAGTAAACCAAAAGGCTCCACTCAGAATACCTCAAGCAGCTACAGAAAAATGCAAATTAGAAGACCCAAGCTCTTATCCCTATTCTGTTGCTAGACAATGGTCAGCTAAGCTGTACAATAGCCCCTACCTTTGAAATAAGAATGTTCTCCTTAGTAAATTACTTTAAGATCCTTTTGTAAGTATAGGAGTCAAAGACCCAGAAACAAACTCTCAGTCTTGCAGAACAATGAATGTTTTCCAAAGAAGCAACATCATAAATGATGGCTGGCTTTGCCTCTGTGATTCCCCAAAGCTTAGCCTACCCGTCATTCGATTGAGGCATCTGGTTCTGCCGTTTTAGAAACCTGAGGACCAGAGGATTATTTCTATGGGTAAATAAACGCACCTGAATTCCAAACAAAAAAGACAAATTGTCTACAAGTGGAGTGTCCACTGCAACTTTAAAATGGAGCTTGATTCTTCAGTTTTCAAAATTTAAACACAGAAAAAAAAATAAAGAATGCCAGAGCTAAGAAGCATTATATAATCTAACATAATAAGTCACACGATAACACACAATTTTACATCTAGAAGGGATGTTAGCGATGATCTGGAACAACTTCTATTTTTAATGTTAATCCTCTATAGTAGGAGCGACTAATAAATAATGGCTCTACTTTGAGTTCACTCAATTGCGAAAAATCCAGACATTGTTAAAGACTATCAGGCATGCATAATGCTCTTTTTTAAATCCAGGTCCTCTGGGCAAGGATTTTTCTTTTTCTTTCTCTCAGAATTAAGACTTCAACCATCCTAAACGGAAATGTAAGTATGTTTTAAAACCTTTTAGGGTTAGTCTTACACCAATGCTACCACTTTCAATTTAAATAGTTCTGATTGCTAAGGAATGCCAACACACTTCATTCACACACTGCATGCATACAAATCCTGAATGTGAACAGATGCTCCAGCACTTTCTACTCGACCACTTTGGGCAAGTCACCTAATATTTCCAAGCCACAGCTTCTTCCTTTATTAAAAAGTGGAGACAACCTGATTTCATGACTTCACAGGGATACAAGAACCAAATCAAACGACGTGAAAACACGTTTGGGAAGAGTACTGATATATATACAAATGCTTGTTATGATTATAAGATCTCCAAACTCCCATATTTCACTAAAAGAAAGAATTTTGCTCCAAATGTTCAGATGTAGAACCTGAATGGCTTATAGTTGCTGAGTTGGCATTATATACTTTAAAACCAAACAAGTCTCCAGAGACTTTTCTATCTAAAGTTCCTTCTAGGAAAGTAGAGTAAGATGTTAAAACTTAGGTTTCTACATTTTTATATTTTCACAGGTGGAGCACACACTTTCACTACATCCCTCTTGAGGGCAGGAATAGTACCTTAGTCATCATTTTAGCTACAGTAACCGGCAGAGACTAGCTCTGTGCTTAATATCAGAATACACTTTTTCAGAATAAAAGTAAAATGTTAATATAATATGTATATTATATTACATATATGAGGTAGAAAGAGATCTGGCCTCGGAGTACAGACACCTGCTCTCACACTGTATACAACCTTGCACAAGTCCCTCAAGCATCCTAGCCTTCATTTTCCTTTACAAATCTACACTGTAAGTCTGTAAAGCCCTTTTATCTGATGTCAGACATCCACCCAGAATACTCCAAATAAGGCCTTTGAGTGACAAAATGTAAAAAAGATTCCTACGAAGTCCATGCATACGCTTTATCCATATAGAAGCTTATTGACATTTATTTCATGTATATTGATAACAAACTTGGTTATTTGGTTATGAGATATCTCCCACTGTTGGTTAAAAGCAGTAAAATAGATCAGACGTCGAAGGAAAGAGAAACTGGAGAAACCCTAAAGGTTCCTCTTCCTGATGCATGGAATGAAACCAAACCTTCCCAAAAAGGTAGATCAGATTCAATCCAAAATCATACTATGGCCTAATATCACCAAACACCTGACAAAATTCATTCATGATAGTAGTCTCCATCTCTTAGGCCAAAATTAGGCTCAATGTGTGATTAATTTAATTCAACCCTTAATTATGGTAAAACAGAATGACTGCTCAGCAAATACTGCATTCTAATGCTATCCACCATTACCCTACTCATTAACCTGGGAAGAAATGATAAAGCCCTCTTTTATAGTTCACTTTTCCTTACTTCACTAGCCAGTCTTATTTTATTTTTCACTATATAACATTAATGGAATCACAAAGGTCATCTAATTCTAACTGGAAGTCGGCTTTTGAGTTATCTAAGAAGCATTTTACATACAGAAATAAAGCGGATTATTTTACAGAAATAATTTTACCCCCAGTGATACTGGAACCACAGGCCCTCCAGGACCAGTTCAACGGACCCCATCTTATTAACAGAGTAATTAAGGAAATTAGCAAAGTCACGTGGCCAGAGCATGTGCAGAAGAAGAAATCTTGACCTGAAATGACCACAGAACCAAAGATTCTCCTCCCCATAGAACCAAAGGACCGGGGCATGACCAGAACTTAAAAGTTGGACTCATTAGAAGTGAGGAGTCTGTCATTCAGGAAGATCCAGTGTTAAAATTCCTTCCCCACCTTACTATACATGTTTAAAATCTTACCATGAAAGTTCAGAACCTCATCATAAATGTTTAGAAGCTTATCATAAATGCTTGAAGCCCACCAATCAAAACCTATCCCGCCAGCATTTCCACATGCCAGCCTGTTCTCCCTAACCTCTTAAATTTTGCCCCAAATCCTGAATTGGGGAGACAGATCTGAGGGCACATGCCCCGTCTCCCTACAGATCGATCTTGCAGATTAAAGCTGATCTCTTTTCGCAAAAGCTGATGCCGTAATTAACTGGCTCGTTTATGCGCGCTGGGTAGGAGAACCCCATTTTTGTGCAGTAACAATGCTAATGTACTTTAAAGAAGTACCATGTTACTATTCGCCAACTAGAGGGAATCAGCTCTTTCAATCAGCTCTTTTCTGCCAATTCTGAACCTTGAAGCACATGATAGAGTACCATAGCCATCAGAATACTTGATATTTCAGATACTGGCTTTGAAAGGACTTTTATATATCAGTAATGGAAATCCAAATGCATATAATTCTTTTGCAAAGTTAAATACACCAAGAATCTTAAGAATCTTGAGCAAATTCTGATATGTTCACTAGATGTAATATATGATGGAAACTAATTTATGAGGTAATGTTAATTGAAAATTATCAAGGT